GTGATGCTTACTGATTGAGCTGTTCCACTTCAAAGAAACATCACAGAAATTTATACTGAAAAGATAAATAAGGGTGTGATGCCAGTAAAGGAGCTAAGATGTGTAGATAATGAGAAAAAGCCATACTAGGCTAGTTACAGATTCCTGTCTCAAATTCCTCGCAGAATGAAGTAGGGTATAAATAGTTATTTAGGCAAGTACTTTGGCAGTATATAAATTCCACTAAGAAACTCTTGGAAAGTCTTACATTGTAATGTCGATCCAGAAAGCACTTCTTTCATATATAGTCTTATAACTCTAAATTCTGTGTCTTGTAGTAAATTACTATGCCAATAAAACGTGTTTGTATTATTATACCTACTCAGTACCTTACTACATGGAAAACCCTAGAAATGAACATATCTGTTATTCTGCAACACAGATGTGTTAACCAGCACCATCCCAACACCTCTGTGAAACAAACTGGTTGGAATGGCTACTGCTAGTGGAGAAAATGGTTCTCTCAAGGGAAATTTTTTCCTGGTTTCATGGAGTATTTACTAACAGTAATCATTTCAACATGTATAATGTATCCTTTCTTTCATTTAAAGGTTTTAGCAGGAACACTAATCTGAGCACTAAGAATTAATTTAGGCTTTCAGTGAATATTTGTTGAATTGAATTTACACAGCTCCTTCTATTTCCTTATAAGCTAGATAAAATGCATTTTGTATATATTAATATTAGATTAATATGAACAATAAAATACCTTGAGTGTGCTTTTGATTTTAAAGTACCTCTCTGTATCTTTCCAACATTTTTTCTGGGCTTCAGGCTGCTGAATTAGGCTGCTGTGTCTTCAGTCAGCAAAATTCCATTGGTGTATCTGTCTATATGGGATACAACACTTTATTCTAGCATAGGAAATTCTCCTATTTTTTTTGCCTACAGCTCTGCTTCCCTTTATGTTATGCAGCTTTGTGAATGACGGAGTAAAAGGATTTCCTTTGAAAATTAGTGTATGATTTCAGTGTTTTGATATATTTCTTACCATAATTTTCTCTATTAACAAAAGACCATAAAAATAATAAACATGTAAGAAAATGCTGTTCCTGATAAAGGTTTGTTGCAGAAATTTCTCTACTTCCTCTTGTAATAAAATTAGTGATATATGTTATTGGGTAGTATGTTTTCTCACGTTCTATCTCTGTGTTTGAAACTGGTAAATTCTCCAGCATTTCCCCTCATAGTTTGCATGTGCTCTTTGTTTTGTTTTATTTTAAGATTTTTATTTATTTATTTGACAGAGAGAGAGACAGCGAGAGAGGAACACAAGCAGGGGGATTGGGAGAGGGAGAAGCAGGCTTCCCACTGAGCAGGGAGCCTGACGCAGGGCTTGATCCCAGGACCGTGGGACCATAACCTGAGCTGAAGGCAGATGCTTAACAAGTGAGCCACCCAGGTGCCCCGCAGGTGCTCCTTGAAACCATCTTTTCTGTATTCACATATCCTCAGGTTTTGTTTTTGTTTTTGTTTTGAATTTTTCTCTTCTCTTCCCACTTACTATTTGTATATCTATACATATGTATAACATGTACATAGGGACATATATATGCATATTCAGAATATTTTTTCCTGAACTCTGTTATTGACACGACGCACTATTTTTTTTTTAAGATTTTATTTATTTATTTAAGAGAGAGAGAATGAGAGATAGAGAGCATGAGAGGGAAGAGGGTCAGAGGGAGAAGCAGACTCCCCGCTGAGCAGGGAGCCCGATGTGGGATTCGATCCTGGGACTCCAGGATCATGACCCGAGCCAAAGGCAGCCGCTCAACCAACTGAGCCACCCAGGTGCCCAACAGGATACACTATTAACGCTAAAAACTTCAGTGCATATTTTGTAAAGACAAAGATACTCTCTTTTATAACCATAATGTGGTTATCAAAATCAGGAAATTAACAATGATATAATATTTTTATATAATCTATAGACCTTATTCACATTTCATCAGTTTTCCCATTAACATCTTTTATAGCAAAAGGAAAAAAATTATTGCCCAGGTTTCAAAGTAAGAATTACATTTTGCTTCTCTTTCATCTCCTTTAATCTGGAGCAATTCCTTAATCTTTGTTTTTCATGACATTGACATTTTTTAAGAATATAGGCCATTTATTTTGCAGGATATTCTTTCAGTTCAGGATTTTTTGATATTTCTTGTAAATAGATTATACATTTCTGGCAGGAACATCACGGGGTGATATTTTGTCCTCAATGATTAGATCAAAAGACACATGTTGTCTCTTTGTCACATTATTAGAGATAATAACTTTGATCATTACCTTCAGACGTTTATTTATTTAATTTTTACAGGTTTATTGAAGTATAATTGGCACAAAATAAACTGCACACATTTAGGTGCAGATTTTAATGTAACTGATGAGTAAAGTTAATGACCTTAGTATGAAGCCTTCCAAATTCTGTTTGAATTATAGGAACTTTATGAAATGTCAGGGCCATGTGCTAGCCTGGGTTGTCAACAAAGTTAGTGTAGGTTGTACATGTTATAAGGGGATAAATAACATGTAAAAGAACAGATTACTTTGGAGTCTTTATCTAGACTGAGCATTAGATGTCTTTGTTGTGACCAGTGGGCTTTAAAATGTAGCTTCCTCATCTCCTACTGCATTTGCTATCATGAGTTATATTAGTAGTCCACTCTCAGATCAGTCTTAAGGATTAAAAAAAGCTATTACAGGTGGTAAAGACTGAATTGGTCATAGACTTTATTTTGGTAATCAATTTATAAATTAAGTTATAATTTATAAATGCAGACTTCATTAAATATTAGATAGCTAGAATTAAGATTCCTTGGTCTGCATCTTTCTTAACTGACTGAATCACCCAGGTGCCTTTGTATATTTCTTGTAAGAGTTCATAAAAATCAGAATTTCAGAGTAAGAAGAGATCTGAACTATCACAATCTAGAGCTTTCCAAGCATTATGAGATAATGAGCCTCTTAGTCTCTGAGCAGCTGGGCTGGTCCTGGGATACCTAGAGCCTTGTGCTGGTCACTTATGTCTGCAGGCAGTCTTTTTTATTCTAGTGTGCTGTATAAATGTTACCATTTTTTTATGGACATCATGACACAAAGGGATAAGGAGGCACTGACTTTGTCCAATAGCTCATTTAATCTTTAAATCTTCTCTCCTGTAGCTCTGCTAAATGATCATTGATCCTAAACATTTATTCGACAAATACTTCATACCAATTTGTGTGCCAGGAACTGTGTTACGATGTAAGAGGTAAGGAATATAGCAATAAATAAGACAGATAAGCTGCTACATACTGAGCTTTTACATTTTGTTGGGGAAATAGACAAATCAAGTAAATGAATAACTGAGCATGGTAATTTAAGATTAAATAAAGTGCTGTGGATGAAATGAACAGAGGGATGAAAGATATTAGAGAATGTCAGATGGAGTGTTTAAAGAAGATATTTTTGAAGAAATATCATTCAACTGAGACTTGTAAGGTTAGAATGATCAGGCTTCGAAAGATCTGGAAGAAGAGTATTCCAAGAAGAGGGACTAACAAGTGCATAGGCCTGAGTGTAGGAAAGGAATCATTGTATTTGAGGGACAGAGTGGGTGCATGTGTGGCTGGAGCCTGTCAAGAAGGGAGAATGGTATGAGATGAGACTGGGGATATGGGAAGGAGCCAGCTCACACAGAGTCTTCTGGGCATAGTGAGGAATTTGGATTTTATTCTAAAGAGCAATGGGAAGCCTGTGGAGGTTTGAAGGCCTATCCTTTGTTAAGATTCTTAACTTCTCTAAACCCAGGTTCCTAATCTAAAAGGAATAATCATGTGTTACCTACTTCATAGGGCTGTTGTGAGGCCTACATGAGTGAACTCCTGTATCAGTGCCTAGTTAGCTTTAATACTCTCTTATTATTGGAAATATGTTTCCTATTCTAGGGCAGTAACAGTTCATCAGTCTGCTTTCATTATTAAATATTCTTCAGGACTATAGTTCTGTGCTTTACCAGTCAAGTTTTTAATTATTAATTTGATTTCCCAAGTACCTCCACACTGGGAGTTGAATGAAGTTCTCTGAGTAAGATATATGTGTTTATGTTAACAAAAAGAGACATCTCTTTTTTTAATAAATCAATACATTTCTATTCTGGCTTATATATCAGTGGTTTATGGATTGAGTTATTAAATCTCATCTCTGGGTATATGGAATAAAGTCCACTTATAGATCAAGTATAGCTAGAATTTAGGTAGAAAATGTATTTTTTGGACCTTGAGGACAAAGTAGGTCATTCTGGATGGTGGTAAATCACTAAATACCTATAGTATTTTCTTTCAAACCCTTTGTTGTTAATCTACAATTTTAACATTTTTCTAGTGGAAAAATAAGACATGTAGTATGAATAATGTAGAACCGACAGTATCTATGACATTGTGCTTAACAGAATCCTAAGCAGTACTCTTAATTTTCTTTCTACAACTTTAGAGTCCAATTTCATTATTCACACTAAGTCAAGTCACCTCAAACACTGACTTAGCCAATCCTAAACCATTCGTCTTAGGGAAATAAAGGATTAGGTTCTTGAAAGTCTCTGATGTTAGCATTTTTGAATCGATCCATGCGTAACCTTGTTTTATATGTATTTCTGTTTAAAAAGACCCTTATTAAATATATATTGTTGATTCATTAACATTGAACTCATGGCCAACAGCACGATAGCTCACACCTGAATGAGACTTTTCTGACACACTTATTTTCTAAGATCCCATTCTTTTTGCATTTAGGCACATCCCATTTTTCTTGCATTTAGGAATACTAGACAGCACTTCAACATTATGCTTGGGCGGCCATTTTATATAGCAAAATCCTCAACAAAGAGCATAAAAATGTGAAAAACATGACACTAAATACACTGCAGAAAGGATACTTGTTTATAGTATGAAAACAAGAAGGAGGAGCCTTGCCCTGTTCAACCTCAGCTGGAAGCATGCACATCTGGTAACTCAAAATTTTCTCTACTCTGCGCAAATACATATCTGCAAATGACCACTAAAGTACCTGAGTATTGATTTTAGGATTACAAATAAGTTTTAGTGAGAAGGTGAATTCACAAATGCAGATTCACTGTAATTGTTTAATTTTGGGTAACAATTTTTTTAAAAATTATTTTTACAGGGGAGATATAAAATAGATCAATATTTGATTAGTTATTCTTACACTACCTTCTATCTTGATACCGATTTTTTGGAGGCCAAATAATTCTGTGGTTATAGCTATTTTCATTGTAGTCATTTTGTTCTCTTTGTGACTCTATTGCAACTATACTTCTGAGGATAGTCTAAGTTCTTTATATTCCTGAAGACAATAATATCTCATTATTTTTTTTTAAAGATTTTATTTATTTATTTGAGAGAGAGAAAATGAGAGACAGAGAGCACGAGAGGGAAGAGGGTCAGAGGGAGAAGCCAACTCCCCGCTGAGCAGGGAGCCCGACGCGGGACTCGATCCCGGGACTCCAGGATCATGACCTGAGCCGAAGGCAGTCACTTAACCAACTGAGCCACCCAGGTGCCCAGTAATATCTCAGTATTAAAAAAACCAAACAGGGACAAGTAAACTTGAGAACTTATTATTTTTTTTAAAGATTTTATTTATTTATTTGACAGATAGAGCCAGAGAGCACAAGCAGAGGGAATGGCAGAGGAGAGGGAGAAGCAGGCTCTGCACTAAGCAGGGAGCTCGACGCAGGGCTCGATCCCAGGTGACCTGAGCCGAAGGCAGATGCTTAACCATCTAAGCCACCCAGGTGCCCTAAACTGTAGAACTTATAAGAGAGAATAGAATATCTGTGATCTCAGAGTATGGAAAGATTGCTTAGAACACAAAATTTACAAATCATAAATGAAACAATTGATAAGTTATGTTTTCACGTTACATTCAGTTACAGTAAAATGAAGAGTTTTGGTCCTCAATATAAACCATGAAGAAAATGAAAGTATATACCACAGAGTGGGAGAAGATACTGCAGTGTAAATCACTAATAAGTAATTAATATTAGGATATATAAAGAATTGCTGTATATTATTAAGAAAAAGACAGTGTAATATGGGTCACCTGGGTGGCTCAATTGGTTAAGCCAATCTCGATCACTGGATATTTGTAGAACCCTGGGTTAATTTGTGGAGTAAGAAAACTTTGTCTTCAGCAGACTTCCCATAATTTCTACTAAACCTCTCTTCACTTACTCTTTTTCCTTCTAGGTGCTTCCTGATTTTGTACCATCCCTCTGAAGGCGTAGTTTTACAGATTCCCAAATGACCCCTCCCTTCTCTTTGCTTTTGTAAAACTTTTCATTTTCTCAATGTTTGTCTCTCAGAGGCAAGTATTCTATACTAACTTACTATTGACTGATGTTAGGTTAATGTTTTATAATTTTCAAAGGATTTCCAATTTAAGATAATTTTCAAAAGAATATATTTTATGATGTAATGTTAAGCTTCCAGGGAAGGAGTGAGTAGATGCGTGTGTTCTGTGTGTGTGTGTACGTATGTGGGGATAAATAGCTCTTTATAGTACCCAGTAAACCATGCGTGTAATTCTCTGATGAAGTCTTTTCACACAGCTTCATTCTGACTATGCCTGATTCTATTTCTAAGTGCCTTTGTGTTAAGTAGGCCTCTTTGGCCAGTTTTCAGTGATCTCCAACTATAGTGGACTTCTGGATATTTTTACATATGTAGTGACTCAGCATCTTTTAAATATCTGTCTTCTCTTGGGGAAAATGCCACTTTTAGTTCTGTGTCCCCAAGCCGGAAAACCATTTCCTCATCTTTTTTGAAGCCAGTGCTCACGCATCTGATCCAGGCTCAGGCATCTGATCCAGACCCAGCCAACTAGATGTAGTCATTTGAATTCAGAAGAGAGAAGTGCGAAGAAGACTGCACAGTATGGAATGTGTTCCTAATAAAGGTGGCAGAGCTGGCATCGATATTGGTTTTCATGGTGGCAAATGGTGGGGCTCTTAGTCACTGCACCTTTACCTCTCAAGATATGAGACGTGGTTTCAGTGCCTAGTGGCAGTCTTGCATGAGGATTTGGGTGTTGTTGCAAGTTACATAGGCATGGGCCCTCTGGAAAATTCTAAAAGCTCTGTAATATCTTTCAGAAATATCTTTTCTACTTAAACTAGCTAGAATTGTCTCTATCTCTTTTTTGATTCCTTAGACTCTTTCTTAACTGATGGTTAAATCCTTATTAGGATGATAAACATGAAGTCCAGATCTTGACTGGCTGGAGATGGAAGGTTTTTGCCTAGTAGCTTCTTAATTGGCCTTTAAGAAAATATACATGTTTTATGAACTATTGAAAGCATACAGAAAGTTAATGACTAATAAACCACCATGTACCTACATCCAGCTCCATCAGATTAGTTTAGCTACATTTGCTTCAGATCTTTTAAAGGAGTAAAACATTACAGATATGGTCTACTTACTTGACTCTTTTCATTGACTAGGTTTGCTTTGTTATTTTCCATCTACAAACTTGAGTTTTACATTCTCTTTCTATTATTTTAGTGGGTATCAACATGGTATCTTACCAGAGTCCAAAGTTATTTAGTCCCTTACCTTTCTGATCCATACAAGGACTCGAAGGCTTTCAGTCATCCCTCCTGCCCGTCTTACACATAGGTGTAGGTTGCAAGTAGTGAAAACCCCAAGTACTGTTATTTAAGCAAATCAAGATTTCTTTTTGTTATATAACAAGAGGCTCAGACTAATATAATTTGGTCAACAACTCATTAATGTTGGGACCATTGTCTCTGCAATTTTCATGGCCAGTGAGAGTCCTTAAGAGTCTGTCTTCTGTGTCATTTTGACACATTTTCATTATTCCTTGAGCCATTCTTTGCATTCTGGTCCATCAAGATGTTCCAAGCTCATCTTATATTTTCCCTGCCCCAGCTTTGGAATCAGCCATATTCTCTAAGTATCCCTGGTTCCTTTTAGTGGAGAATGGCATTTAGAAACCAAGATTTATGTACAAGGTACGTTCATTGCTATTGGATGTTGCTGCTTCTGGGTCTCTTCAATGAAAAAAATCTAGAGAATACCTCCCCCCCACACACACACAACATGTACATATACATACACACACAGTCAGAACACATTTAAATCAATACCATATCTTTTTATCTAGAAAACCATGAATCCATTTCAACACCACAAAGTTCTTTCTAATTTTCTCCTGTTTCATGTTTGTAGCTCCCTGTTTTGCTAGTGTTTCCATTAACTTAATATATTTAATGATTAGATCAGTCCTCCCCGATTATAACTAACTTCCTGTCACTGCTTGCCTCTCCTCCCTAGTCTTATGTCCTCACCATCTTCTTAGCCTTCTTAGGCTCTGGTATTGTAGGATGGTTCAGTCCTTTCCCCCTTCCATCTCCCCCTCCACTGCAACCAATGAATATTCTCTTCACCCTGAGCAGGCTTCCCACAGCCAACAGTAGGCCACCATTGGTAATTATGCAGACACTCTCCAAAACCCCTTTGGGAGCTGCCAACCCTGCATTGGTGTGCTTCCTTCTCCACCTTCCTTCAGACATCTGCCTTGCTTAGCCCTACCTGAAACCTTTGTACTGAATTAAATAAATCCTTCCTCCCTTCTTCTCCTCCCTTCCCCCCTTCCTTCCCTCCCTTCTCTTTCATAGACACAGGCCTTCATATCTTCAAGGATATCACTGAAGCTATTTTAGATTTGTTTGTTTTTTTTTTTTTGTCTGCTATGTGCATTGTCTCTTTTTCCTCTGAATTATATATTTTTTTCTGTTTGTTTTGGGCTAGCTTTCATGTTAGAGACATTTCCTCAAATGTCTGGTGATCTTTATCTGCTTATTCATTTAGTCCTGTGGCTTTAAATATTAATATGCCAATGTTTTCCCAAAATTATATTGCCACTTTGATCCTCTCCCCTGAATTCTGGACTCATCCACTTTCCTGCTCAGTATCTCCACTTGGATATTTAATAAGTATCAAAAATCAGCATATCCAAAATGGGATTCTTGATTTTCTCTGTAAACTTTCCATTCCTCATTTTAGTAAAGGCCAACATCACTCATCCAGTAGCTCAGGCCAAAAGCCCTGGAGTCACCTGTGATTTTTCTTTTTCTCTTACAGCCAGTATTCACTCCATCAGCAAGATCACTTGTTTTATAAAAAATCAGAATCTGAAAGGTCAAGAAGCAAAGACATCCCAGTAGCAATGTGCACAACTAGTACCCAGGTCTTAGTCTCTAATACCATTGCCTACTAAAAACCAAGCACATTGGAGAACTGGATGATTCTAGGGCTGGGGCAGGGTAGGTATAAGATGATCCTGGAGTATCTTGTTATGCCACAATGTATGGAAGTGCTGAAAAAGGTGATGGGACATGTCACAAGGACATAGGAACAGTTTGAAGAGTTTCCACTTGCCAAATCTGGGACAGTTTGAGCTCCAAAATAGTTAAATACAGAAATGAATTATAAATCATTGGAAAAAATAAGAATTCATGAATTCATACTGATCAGGGACAGATAAATAAATAAATGGGTGAAGAGGGAGAGCCCTTAACAGTCAAATGCAGAGACCCACTGGTAAGTGTGGGAAGACTGATAGAGTTGGAAAATCATCTTTGCATAATATTTATAGTTAAGATTGGATCAGGCAAGAGTCATCAACAAATTTTAATATAGGGGGAAATTTTGTTTAAGAGTAGAGTATTTATGTGGTCTTAAAGTGTCTCCCCAGAGATTGAGTGACAAGGGAAAAAAGTAACATTAGTAGCACAGCGTAGAAATTAGACAGTACCTTGACGAGGTGAGCAAATTAACAGCATCAGTAAGGGAAAATGTAATAGCTTGAGAAAATTTCAACATCACCTGTGCTCCTTGAGAATGCATAATCTAATCATGAGGAAATGTCAGACAAACCCTAAATGAGAAACATTCTAATTTTAGAATGGGGGGAGAGGACTTTATTCTTCAAAAATGTCAGTGTCGTAGATGTTCTAGAAATGTTCCAGATTAAAGGAGCCTAAAGAGATTGGCAGCTAAATGCAGCATCCAATCCTAGACTGGATCCTGAGATGGAGGGGATAAAATGCTAGGACATTATTGGGTCAACTGACAAAATTGGAGTATAAACAGTAGATTAGATAAAAGTATTGTATCATGTTAAGTTTACTGAAGCTGATTACTGTGATTATGTAAGAGAATATTGCCTTTTTTAAGGATATACTGAAGTGTTTAGGAGAAAAGGACCATGATATATGTAACTTCCCCTCAAGTGGTTCAAAAAAGAAATTTTGTGTATGTAAACGTGTGTGTGTCTGTCTGTCCGTCCATGCATGCGTGCGATAGAGTGGAGTAAAGTGTTGATAATAGGTAAATAGCTGAATCTGGTAATGGATGTATGAGCGCTCTTTGTACTATCCTTTGTTTGCCACCTTTTTATAAGTTTGAAATTATTAAAAGCAAAAACAAAAGCATAACCCAACTCTCACTCCTACTCACTTCTTCCTCCTTTTGTCAGGCAACCTTTATGTCTTACTTGGACCACTCCAGTGGCCTTCCCGCTGATCTCTCTGCTTCCGTCCAGGCTGCCCTACAGTCATTTCTTCACACAACTGGCAAAGTGATTCTTTCAAAACATAAATCAGCTAATATCACTCTTCTTCTCATGGCTTACCATTTTACCTGAAATAAAAATGTAGTGCATACCTAGAGTCTTCAAGGCCTGTGTGCTGTGGCCTACTTCAACCTCTCTGATACTGTCCCCATCATTCGGTGTCCCTTGTTTTGCTCCAGCTGACCTGGACTCTTCGTGTGCCTCCAGTAGGCCAAAGGTACTCTTCTTTCAGGGCTTTTGTACGGGCCCGTCTCTCTGCCTGGAACACTCTTTGCCCAGATTATCTGTGTGGTTCCCACCCTTCTGGCCTTCACAAGAAGCTATCCTCATCAGAGACACTTTCCCTGACTTTCTGAGTTAAAACAACATTCCTCCTTTCCTCTACCCATTACACTCTATCCTCCATCCCTGCTTTATTTCTGCTTCTCTTCTATATGCTGCATTTGTTTATTGTCTATATTCTTTTTTAGAATGTAAGCTCCTTGAGAGAGGGACTTTGTTTTTTTCATTACTGTATCCCCAGTGCTTAGAACAGTGCCTGGCACATAGTAGGCTCTCAGTAAAGGCTTGAGAATGGAAGAATAAACTTCCAGGCACTTAAAAGCTGATTGAAAACTGACTGTGTGTGAGTGGAGCTTCTTGGTTTTGGTAGT